TTATAATTTAGTTTGTGTTAGGTGCATATTAACATTTGTTTTCTATATCCATCTCCCATAAAATATAGATACAAAGGTATTCCGTTTTTCCATAATTACTATGGTTCTTTTTAAGGTTTATGCATCTTTTGTGTTTTTTATGAGAAAGGATATTATTTCCTGTAAAATGAAAATATAGCTGGTAAAGCTAGTTTTTAAATAAGTTATTGATGGTTTAAAATGAAATGAATTAAATTATAACACATTTGTTTTAGTAAAAAAATAAATATATATCTGGCTTTAGAGATACATAATACCATACTTACAATATTATGTTTAAGGCAGGCAAAGAAAAAAATGGTGGTGTACCATCCTATAAATTTAAATATATATTATATTATTATTATTGTACTCTATCTCATATAAGAGCAACACTTCAGGTGGCTATCAATTTCTATCTAGTTTAGTCTGACTATACCCCTTGGTAAATAGTTGGTTTTCATCAACAGATTTTGCTTTCAAAACTGATTATGAAATAGCTTTTTCATGTTAATCTTACCAAAATGCAGAGTTGGTTGTTGTTAGATATAAAGTTACTTTTTTATGGTACAACCTAAACAACATTTATTTTTATTTTTTATTGATTATAGTTTTAATCATTGCTTAACATTTTAAATTGATATTGTTATTTATCATAATTCATAATGTTTATAAATTGTTCTTTTATCTAAAAACAAATCATTTCTTCATTTTTCTTAAATTTTTTGTTTCATATTTTAACTCAGGAATTTTCTCCAGTACAACCCCTTAAAGATGTTTCTTTAACAACAGTGAACGGTAATGAGAATGTTAATAAACGATTAAATGAATTACTGAATAATGATGACAGTTCATCAACAGCAGATTCAAAATATCAACTTGAACAAGGTATGCTATATTATAATGTTAATATTTTTAGTTGTAACACATACATAATAATTATCCCCAAAGTATTTTTGTACCATCCAATATCTTATGAAAAATATTTTAATTACAGTTTGTTTAACAGTAATTAAGATATAGGTATCAAAACACTAATTAAAAAAAATTAGTGACTTACCTTGGTTTTGAAATTTTAGAGAATAGTTAGTGTAAAAAAATTTATAAAACATCTATTGCTATTTTTTTTATTTAA